GTATCCGAGCACACGTATGTGTGTGTGAGCACTGGGTTTTGTTTTGCCATGTGGGAGGGGAGGGAGCCAGAGAGAGATGTAGTATGTATCTCACAAACGTTTTCTTGTGAGCATAGGTACAAATTATCAATACAGCCCTGGCTGGTGGGGCTCAGCAGACTGAGCGCTGGCCTGGGAACCAAAGGGTCGGTGGTTCGATTCCCAGTCAGGGCGCAGGCCAGGTCCCCGGTGGGGGACACGCGAGAGGCAACCACACAGGGATGTTTCTCTCCCTCTCTTTCTCCCTCCCTCCCCCTCTCCCTAAAAATAAATAAATAAACTCTTTAAAAAAAGATCAGTACAGGATACACACATGTACGTATCGTAAAAGCGGCCACTCTCGCCTTTTTTACGCGTGCGATCCAGCGACATTAATTACTTTTAAGCCTCTGTGCAGCAGCACAGCTGTTTCCGAGGATTTTTGAGGGACCCATCCAACAGGGGACCGGCTGCCTTTCTAAAGAGGGATTTGGACAAACGCTTGGGGAGCGGATGCCAACGCAGCCGGCTGGAAAAGATAGGATGCGTTGGCGTCCACAAAAGGCCGGTGCCGGCGGGAAGAAGCCGGCGGCGCGGGGCTCCCGGCCGGGCTGCGATGGGGCCCGGCCTGCGACACCGCGCGGAAGGAAGGCGTGAGGGAGCGAAGGACGGAACGCAAATACAAAACCAGCCGGGATCCTTCCTCGGGCGCATTTTGGCTTGCGACGCGGCATGTCCGCCAAAGGGCATCGGTAATCCCTACGTGGTGTCTTTCTTAGGGGGCTTTGACACGGCTTCGGCCAACGCTGCCTCTCGGGCCACGGGGCATGAAGGAAAGATTCATTTCCGAACTCTCTCCAGGGAGCGGAGAATTCCCCACGTCCACGCCCCGCCCCGCCTCTGTTCGCCTCTCCTGAGACGCACGTCCTTGTCTCAGTTCCGTAACCATGGCCCCATAGAGACTTTTGAACCTGTTTTTTATGCGCCACTCACAGCGGACATCCCACAGTGTTCTGGGTTGGTCTCAGGGGTACGGCACGGCGGTTAGAGAGTCGTGGACCTGACAAAACCCTTCCCCTGCTATTTCCAGTCCCCACCAGGCTCATCTGTCACTAGGACACTGCTCGTGACTCTGTCCCCTGGGCTGCACTCTGCATCCTGTGACCCTTCGGGAGCTGACACTCGGTCCTTCTCTGTCCCTTCAGCTGGTCCCCCGCGCCCCCTGCCCCGGCCCCTCCGGTGGCCCTCCGTCTGTGCTCTGTCGCTGAGCCTGTTTCTGCGTTGTGGGTGTATCCTGTTCTTTAGATCCCGCACGCAAGGGCAACGAAGCGCCGCTGGCCTGCGCCGACTCCCTTCGCTGAGCACAAGGCCCCCCAGGCGCATCCGCGCGCCGGCACAGGGCAGGGTCTCGTGGTCGTGTACGGCCGCGGCCATTTAGAATCGAAGGACCGATAAAGAGCCTCCCAGACGAGGAAAAGCGGAAGGGTCACCATCACCGCGCCAGCTTTGCCAGAGATGCGAAAGGGACTTCTTCGAGAAGATACAGAATATGACGACCAACGGGGAGACAGCGCCGTCTGTATTAACAACGACTGTAAACGGAAATGGATTGAATGCTGTCATCGTCAGACATGTTTTAGGAAGGAACACAGCTTCCGATAAAAAAAAAAACAAAACAAAACCCAAACCACGTTCTGCAGCCAGGATGGGTGTTCCGCCTGCCTACAGCTCTGGGAAATGCCGCGTTTGGCCGTGTATGAGGCACACCCCCGACCTGTGCACATTACACACGGGATTATTATACCCATGGTGTGTAATCATTGTACTCACGTGCCGCGCGCATCCTTATTTTTCCATCAAAAAATGTGGGCACACAAAAAAAGGTAGACATCGTACACGGGCAAATACGGTCTGTGGGGAAAACGAAGCTTCTGTTCCGGGCCACCGGGTTCTGTCACACCTGAAAGACGATCCCCTCCGTTCTGGGACTTTGTCGGGGACGCCCACGTGGACGCCTCCAGGCGGCTGGGCCCCGGGGACTTGCGGGCCCCCACCGTCCAAGTCACAGAGAAGCAGAGCAGCGAGGCCCTTGGGCGAGGAAGGGACACACGTCTGCCCTCGGCGCTCACTTCCCCGGGGACGGTGACAGCCACCTCCCCGTCTGAGGGCCTGAAGGAAAAACCTGGCCTTGGACGCCCACAGACACCCGCACTGGCCTTGGTGCCCCTCCGCTGGGGACAAAGGCAGGGCGTGCAACGGAGGGGCACGCTCAGAAACGGATTTCCGAGGCAGCCTCTCCCGGCCGCCCGCCAGGCACCGCTGAGAGACCCGCTCTTCTGCGAGCGCCCACGGCGGCGACTTTCGGGTTCCAGGGCCCCCGCGGCGCCAGAAAACAAACAACACAGCGGCAGCGTTCACGGCCTGAGAGAGCAGAGCGGTGCACTTTGTCACTGAGGCTACGGCGGAGCGTGACCAGCCTTCCCAGGACCCTGGGGAGAGCGGGCGGGGGCGGGGGGCACACCAGCCAAGTGTGCAGGGACAGACGAGAGTTCACCGCCTCCTTGTCCCTTCACAGGGTCCCCGTTTCTGTTGGCTGAAGAGCAGGAAGCAGAAGGGGCACGTCAGCAGCTCCCTGTCCCCGCATGCCCTTCTATTTCTCTTCCCAACGCTCTGCACAGGAATTGCATGGAAAAATTAGGGGCCTCTCTGGTTCTCGGGATGTATGTGCACCTCGCGGCTGCCAAGTCCCCAAGAGCACCGTGCAATTCTGGGGGCTTCCCAGACCCCGCCCTCGGGTTCCACGGCTCCCTGGGTGGATACGGACGCCTCCGTGAATCTGCATGTCCCTGGTGGTAAGAATCACAGCAGGAGATGGATAGAGGGACCCGCGGAAGGTGCCCATCCAGGGGGAGGACCTATTCCGACCTGGTGGTCTCTCACGACTAGCTCTCTGTGGACCTCGCTGTTCCACCCTCCCGCACCCCACTTCTTGGAAGTGAAAGGATGACGCCCCCCCAGGAAGTGAGCGTGGGCTGTTACAACAGCGAGAGGGAGCTAGCGTTCCGGGATGGGTACTAGGCAATGCTTTATGACGACGTCACAAAACAGGGCCGTCTTCGCGCCTTCGAGCTGGAGATGTCGGCCTCCTGAAGGGTTTGCAAAACACGATCGGACCGTTGCTCCCTGATGGCAGTTCCTGCACAGGAGACACCTTGCGGGTCACCGCTGAGCACGCTGGCTGAGGACAGTGTTTGAGACGCGGGCTGAGACCCGCAGGACATGATGCCAGCGGGTGCCTTTTCTTGGCCCCCTCGCAGGGCAGGGAGGCTGAGGAGGGAGGTCACGCAGAGAGACGCTCCGGCACCCTAAACCTAAGCGGCGCGCAGAACGGACGGCGAGTCGTTCCCGTTCAACGCCCCGCAGTAGACGCACACCACCGCGAGGTCACACGCTGGGGATGTTCCGAGCTGCTCCACGTGGGCCGAGGTGTTCACGGGCAGGCGCGGCGCCATATGGAATTTTGCACTTTTGGAGGCGAGGGCCGTGCCGTGGGCGGTCCTTCCAGCCGTCGCTGGGGGCTCCCCTACCGTGGCTCTGAGCCCCCCCCACCCCCGGGGAGCCCCCAGGTCTCTGCCCCCAATTCACGGCTCCCGAGACCACAGGGAAAAACACTTGACAGAGATGGGGGCCCTCAGGTCGCCCCTCGTTGTGACCTGGCATGGCAAAGGCTCCTGGCGTGTCGTGCCTGTCATCAGCCTTCCCTTTAGGCCAAATCAGAAATTCCACCTCTGCGGAGGGGGAGGGGCGTGCGGTCCCGGACGGGTGCCAGCCCTTGCGGGCTCCCGGCGGAGCCCCGGTTGCAGCTCCGGGTTCTGATGCCCCACGCGGCGTCCCTCCTCACACTTCTGGGAGCCCTTTAGGGTGGCAGGGGGCTGCCGGGACGTCTCCTGACGCCCTTTGCTGGGCGCGCCTGAGCAGGTGTGACGCATCTGGCGGCACCCGGCCCCGCAGAGCAGCTGGATCCCCTGGTCTACGCGGAGGCAGCATCTCCGGGCCTCGGTTTTCCTGTCCGGAGGACGGAGCGTTCTGAAGCCCAGGAGAGCCTGTCCTGAGGCAGCCTGGCGCGCACCCTGGGGTGCGGCGTCCCCACGGGAGCCTTGCCCGTGCCCTGCAGCCCGTGCCCTCAGCAGCTGCGCTGAGCGCTGCGCTAGCATTTCAGCGCCAGGCGGGTCGCGTGGGTTCTCCATGGGGGGCGGGGTGGGAGTGGAGCCTCCTGGCTTCTAGCGGCCTCAGAGGGCTCGGGGGTCCTGGGTCCCGGATCTCGGCAGGGGTTGGGGGTCTGTGCTCCGTGTGTAAGGCTGGGGGTGCCGGCCTGCAGTGCAGCAGGTGTTAGAGTTTGGGGGACTGGACGCTGGGGGGCTGGCAGCGTCCTTGTGGTCCTTGTATTGCGGTCCTTGTGGGCGCTGCAGCTACCAAATTGGGGGCCTCCGTGGGGGTCGGCTAGGTGTCCCGGTGGGTTTCCGGGTGGGGGGTCTGCTCGGCAGGCCGGGTGGAGCTGGGGGTCCCCAGCACAGGTGCGGGGGACAGGCAGGGTCCGGGTCATAACCTGGCCTGATGGGCTGTGCGGTTTCAGAGCCCTGGAGGGGTCCCCGTGGGAGCCGGGGTTGGCGGGGGGGTGTTCTCTGGTCCCCGTTCGGGTCCCAGTGAGGCCCTGCAACCTGGGGATGATTTGCGCTGGGGTCCGCGGCCGGGGCGGGGCGGGATCTGCGGCCCAGGAGGTGTCCTCGCGGCCCGGGCGAGGTTTCTGGCGCGGCTCCCTGGCGCGGGGGGGCCGGGGGGCGGGGCGGGGGGGGGGGGGGAGCCGCGCGGTCTGCGCCGGGAGCCGCCGGCGGGGTCACGGTTCCGGCGGGGCGGGGCGGGGCGGGGCGGCGACCGGCGGGGCGGGGCAGGGGCGGTGCCGGGCGGGGCGGGGCTCCGCCGCCTTCAAGTCCGTCCCGGCGGCCGCGTCCTGGGCGGGCGTCGCGGAAGCAGCGGCGGGGCAGCCATGTCGCCTTTGTCTGCGGCGCGGGCGGCGCTGCGCGTCTACGCGGTGGGCACGCTGGTGATCCTGGCTCAGCTGCTGCGCCGCTGCCTCGGGGGCTTCGCGGAGCCAGGTCAGCGGCGGGGGCGCGCGCGCCGCGCGCGGGGCCGGGCGGGCCGGGCGGCGGCGGCGGCGGCGGCGGCGGCGACAGGGGCGACTTGGGCGACAGCGGTGACAGCGGCGACACCCGGCCCGGGGCGCGCTCCCGGCCCCGCGTGACCTTGACTCCGGGGCGCGCCGGGAAGGAGGGGCGGGGCCCGGCGCGCGGGCGGGGGTCCTGCTCCCGGTTCCCCGGCCGCGCGCGCCCTGGGCCAGGGTCTCGCCCCGGGGAATCTCCCCTCCTCTGGGTAGTGGCCGGGACGCGGGTCCCAGACCTCAGGCGGCCCTCCCGCCGCCAGGGGTCGGGCCGTGACCGCGCCCCCCGGCCCGGGTCGCGTGGGACGCGGCCAGCGCGCGGGGGCGCGGGCCTTGCACCGGGGAGCGCTGAGGCTCCGGGCGGGAGGGCACTTCCGTTCAGTGGCAACTTTGTTTCTCTGACGTTGGAGATCCCCCGGGCCGCCCCCTCTGCAGCCTCGCGCTCGCGCTGCTGCCCCAGGGCCTGGGCACGTCCGCACCTGCGCGCCTGCGGGTGCCCTGAATCTGCCCTTCATGGCAGGTTTACCAGTTCAAGCCCAGAAACCCGCTGCGTCCGCGGATGCGCTGCTGGGCCGGGAGGGAACCTGCAGGCTCCCGGGCGTCTTGCTTTGAGGGGGAAAAATAACTATTTTCGGAAGCAAAGTCGCGCGTGGGAATTACGCCGCGTGGCATTGTAGCAGATCTGCTCCTGGTGCGGTCTGGGGACAGAGCTGTCGCTTCCGGCGTCACTTCTGCTTTGACCTGGGCACTCAGGGCCTGGCCGCGGAGGATGGGGGAAGCCAGGCCTGGAGCTGGTGTGATTGTGAAAACCGTTTCCAATTCCCCGGCTGGAAGGAAGTAAATACCGTATTTTGCCGTATGTAACGCGCACTTCTTTTTTTGGGGGGGGGGGCGCCGCATTTTTGAGGGAACAATAAGGATGCGTCTCAGACACACACCGGGCGGACTGAGTCCGCGTATCCCTGTACATGTTTCTCGTTACGGATGGTCGTGCCCCGAAAGTGCCTGTCTAGACAGCAAGAACGATATCCATACGCAAAATCATACCCTGGAATAAGTGGCTCTGTTTCTAAATGTAAGTTAAAAAAACTGAAATAAAAAAAATTAAAACGAGAAGGTGTTTTTTCCCTCCCGAAAGTTGGGGCCAAACACGTGGGCGCACGTTATGAGGGGAGTGCATTGCGCACGGGGAGATAAGGGGGCAGGGCGGCGCCGCACCCTCCAAAGCTGCCCCCCACCGCCCCCCGCGCCCCCGCAGACGAATGGTTGCATTGGACGCGCGCACCTGTGGCCCTTGGTGTTTTTAAACGCATTGCATGGGATTAAAACCGAATGACCAGTAAGGCACCAGCCTCTCCCTGAGGCTGAGGCTTCGGGACTGGGAGGTGACTGTGCATCTTCTGTCATTTGAAAAGAGTCATTTTACTGAGGGGACGTTGGCGCACAACCTCAGCTTCAGGGGGACAACGTTGTCATTGGGTCCCTGTCTCCTCCCTTGCGTGCGCAACACACTCAAACCCTCGTTTGGATCGTTTACGCTACATTTCACGCTGTTTGCCCCGTGGTTCCTGCCTCCAGCCTCCTTCCTGGCGGGTTCCCAGGGTCTGTGCGGCCTGGCACGTGTGCCCTTTAAAGCTTCCGCGGATGTAGAGTCCCCCGCGGGCCGCCGGTACCCCGTCCCCCACGGGCCCTGCACGCCCGGTCCTCTGTTCAGAGAAAACGCGCCGGGGAACAGGGCATGGAGACATGGCCGCGGAGCCCAGCCACCTGCTGACGGGCTTCTCTGCGCAGTGTCTTGGTGGCAGGCATCCATGGAGCGCTGCGGCGTTCTTTCCCTGTGCTGATTTAAAAAAATAAACTGAGAAGATAAGTACCTTTCTGGGAACAGACGCCTTATCTGCGCACCAGGAGAGGGTCATTTTAAGTGACGATTAATGTCAGCAGCTGGTGCCGGGCAAGCCAGGGCCTGTTGCAGGCTGAGGTGTAATTTTAGATACTGAATGAGCAACGGCTTTTCCGTCGGTCTGCGTGGGGCTGGCTGCCACGCGGCGTCTCCCTGTGCCTTCTCCCCGCCAACCCCCCCCCCCCGCCCCGTTTCCCCTGGGCTCAGTTCTGGATTTAACTCGGGGGGCGGGGTGGCCTTTGCACTTTGCCCCGGGCTCAGAGCTAACCTGTAACCACGAGGCCCAGTGGCCCATTTTGGCTTTTCCTCAGAATGTGGACACACGAGGAGGTCTTCGGTGGTTGAGACGGCGTGTTACGCGTGACTCCGCTTAGATCGGATGAGGAAGACGCGGCCGTCCGGCCTCCTCGTCGCCCACTTTTCTGGAAATGCGTTTTCTGAAACCCAGACCACTTACGAAGGCGCGTTCAAAGGCATCCCTGCCTTTACAGAATGTGCGTGTCAACACGCGACAAAATTGCGACACAGGCGTTTCACTTCCGAAGTCTTAGGGAGGCTCAGACCGCAGTTCCCCCCGGGGAGGCGCGTCTATTTTTATTTTCTTAAGTCGCGGTTTTACTTTACTTCATTTTTGCCAAGAACGAGCACGTCTTTAAAAGACACGACGTTACCCACCTGTTGCCTCCGTGACCCGAGCGCCACAGTGCCAATGCTGATCGGAAGCCTGTGGAGGATCGTCGGGACCTGCCTCCCGCGAGGACCAAAGAGGTTTTCAAAAAGAGAAACGACATTCCCCGGCGGCCCGCGTGCCGGTGGGAAAGGGGACCATTTCACGAGATGCGTTTCACTACCTCGTTCACCCACGGTCCGCAGTGTTCCTTGAACATCGTTCTGGGATGTGGAACACGGACCCTACGTTTGCGCTGCGCTGGGGAGCCAAGGTCCACCCCATCATACGCCAGGCCGCCCACGGACCGTGCTATTTTCAGAGACTCTGGTTTTCAAATGAGAGGGTTTGGGAAAACCTCTACAGAGAAGGTTCATTCTTGGTGGTGTTGGGCCCCTGGGGACCGGGGGACCGATGCCGGTTCCTGGGAGGCGCTGCCCACCTTCATGGCCTCAGGCCTCGAAGGCTTCCTGGTCCTGGGGCTGTTTTTGTAAGACTTCTCCATCCTGGGGATCAGACGGAGACATTCCCAACTCTATCTCGTATACTGAAAAACGCATCCACAGGAACCGCCACACGCCCCTTACGTGCGGCTGCACCCCGTAACACAACATTTTCAGATGTAGAAGAACCACAGCCCCCTGAAAGAAGAAGGCACGCTGGGGACAGCGGTGGCTCCGTCTTTGGGTCTCTCGCCCCCGAGTTACTGCTTCACAGAAGGGAACGCTCCCTTCACCTGTGGATGTGGTGTTGGGGTCTGAGCGAAGAAAACCAAGTGAACAGAGAAAACCCAGCTGCTCGCACGGCCGTGAGAAGAGGCAGGACCGCGTGGGACGCTGTTCTTTTTCTGGAGAGGGCTGTGTCCGCACCCCGATGGCGAACATAAAGGGGTGCCGGCCCTCCTGTGATCTTCAGGGGTGTGAAATCACAGACCGTCGCCCTCCCCGGCCCTGCGGACCCGGCGTCTGAGATCATCCACGTGCCCCCGGGCTGCGCTCTCTCCCCAGGCTCCAGGGAGGGCCCGCCCCGCCTCTGCCCGCTCCGGGGGCCCCCGGTGTCCCTGGGCGGGTGGCCGCGTCCCTCCCGCCTCTGCCTTTGCCCCTGTTTCCACGGGGTGTCTCCTCGGGGTCTGCATCTCCTCCTCTGTCTCTTCTCAGGACCCTGTCCTGGATGTAGGGCTACCGTGACCCAGGACGACCTCCTCTCAGATCCTTCCCTCCATCCCAGCTGCAAAGTCCCTGTTCCCAGGTTGCCCGGGGACCTGCATTTTGGCAGAGGCTCTCTTGCCCCTCGTCCCCCATGGTCCTCATCAGTTTTTGGCTTTGAGCGGATGCCCAACACGGAGGCAATACCTGGTTGGTGCCGTTTGTCATTGAACGCCCCCAGCGCTGCGCCGTGCGTCGGAAGGTTGCACAGAGAACGCACACCATGTAGGAACCTTCAGCTGCCCAGCGAGGCCTTCTGGCCGCGCCTGGGGGCTCAAAAGAACTATGATGGGTGGGCGTGAGCGACAAAGGTAACCCCAGGGCCTGGCTCCTCGGTTTCCAAAACCTCCCGGCCGAGAGGGAGGCCGGTTTCAGGGTTCAGGTGGGGCCGCCCGCCACCGCGCGTGTTCTGCGGCCTTCCAGGATTGAGAAATCCACTGTGGTCCCCCGCGGCTGGCCCATCCCGTTCCGCACGGCCGTCATTCCAAACAGGACGTGTGAAAAGTCGTCCTGCCTCATCAGCCACGCCGAGGACCGCTTGGCCCACCTTCCCATCTCGCTTCTGCTTCTTGGATGCCCCTGAGCCACCTTGCGTGGCGCGTGTCACGCACGTTCTGGGTAACAGCAGGGTGTCGGGTGGCGGCGGGGCTTCTGGGTGCTTTGTGGCGCGTGGGAACGCGGTTTCCACGGCTGCGCCCCGCCGGACTGGTGCGCGCGGTGGGCGGACCTCGCAGAACGGCCAACGGCAGAAACGATGGAAGATGCGTCAGGCGCACAGAGACCTCGAAAGAGACGCCCGTGGCCGGGCGTGCGCCGTCGCCGCGTAGGTGGGAGTGACCCGGACGGAAGCCGTGCGCGTGCGTCTGCCACGCCCCCTCGCTGTGCCAAAGCCTCGCGCCGGGAGAAGCGGCCCGCGGGGTCCCCGGGCGCTTGGTCTGCAAGCGGCGCTGCTTGGGCGCCTGCCGGCTCTTCGCCCCGTGCCTGGGTCCCTTCTCACCCTGTGTTTGTGTTGCTGCTTCTCAGCAGGTGGCCACGCGTGAGAGGCGGCCCCGGGCCCGGACGATGGAGGGGAAGAGCGTGGAGAGCTCGCAGCCGGACCTCAAGCTCGTGGCCCACCCGCGCGCCAAGAGCAAAGTGTGGAAGTACTTCGGCTTCGACACCAACGCCGAGGGATGCATTCTGCAGTGGAAGAAGATCTACTGCCGCATCTGTATGGCGCAGATCGCCTACTCGGGCAACACGTCCAACCTCTCGTACCACCTGGAGAAGAACCACCCCGAAGAGTTCTGCGAGTTCGTCAAGAGCAACACCGAGCAGATGCGCGAGGCCTTCGCCACCGCCTTCTCCAAGCTCAAGCCCGAGTCCTCGCAGCTCGCCGGGCAGGACGCGCTGGCCGCCAAGGCCGGCCACAGCCACGAGGCCAAGCGGCAGCAGGAGCTCACGGCCGCCGTGCTGGGCCTCATCTGCGAGGGGCTGTACCCCGCGTCCATCGTGGACGAGCCCACCTTCCGGGCGCTGCTCAAGACGGTGGACCCCTGGTACGAGCTGCCCGGCCGCAAGTTCTTCTGCGGCAAGGCCATCCCTGAGAAGTACGGCGCGGTGCGCGAGGCGGTGCTGAAGGAGCTGGCCGAGGCCCCCTGGTGCGGCCTGTCCACCGACGTGTGGAGGAGCCACACGCAGAACCGGACGTACGTCACGCTGGCCGCGCACTTCCTGGGCGGCGGGCCGCCGCACGGCCTGGCTCCCGGCTCGCGGTGCCTGAAGACCTTCGAGGTGCCGGACGAGAACGCGGCGGAAACCATCACGCGCGTCCTCTACGAGGCGTTCATCGAGTGGGGCATCAGCGCCAAAGTGTCCGGCGCCACGACGGACGGCGGCAAGGACGTGGCCAAGGCGTGCTCGCTGCTGGACATCGCGGTGCAGATGCCGTGCCTGGGCCACGCCTTCGACGCCGGCATCCGGCAGGCCTTCCAGCTGCCCAAGCTGGGCGCGCTGCTGGCGCGCTGCCGGCGGCTGGTGGACTACTTCCAGCAGTCGCCCGTGGCCCGCTTCATGCTGCAGGAGAAGCAGAAACAGCAGCGCCGCGCACCCTGCATGCTGGTCAGTGACCGCGTGTCCTGGTGGGGCGGCACGCTGGCCATGCTGCAGCGCCTGCACGAACAGCAGTTCGCCATCGCGGGCGTGCTGGTGGAGGACAGCAACAACCACCACCTCATGCTGGAGGCCGCCGAGTGGGCGGCCGTCGAGGGGCTGGTGGACCTGCTGCAGCCCTTCAAGCAGGTGGCTGACATGCTGAGCGCCTCCAAGCGCCCGGCCGTCAGCATGGTCAAGCCGCTGCTGCACATGCTGCTGAGCACCACGCTCAGCATCAAGGACACGGACTCCAAAGAGACGAGCATGGCCAAGGAGGTCATCGCCAAGGCGCTCGCCGAGACCTACCAGGAGACGCCGGAGATCGACATGTTCCTCAACGTGGCCACCTTCCTGGACCCGCGCTACAAGAAGCTGCCCTTCCTGTCCGCCTTCGAGCGGCAGCAGGTGGAGAACCGCGTGCTGGAGGAAGCCAAGAGCCTCCTGGACAAGGCCGCGGACGGCGCGCCCGGCGCGGCGGACGACAAGGCGTTCGGGCCGCCGGACGAGCCGCCGGCCAAGAAGCCGGGGCTGCCGTGCGCGCCGCCGCCGCCGCCCGCCAGCGTCATCAACAGCATGCTGGCAGAGATCTTCTGCCCCGCGGGCGGCGTGGAGGACCAGGAGGAGCGGCACGCGCAGCTGCTGGAGGAGCTGAGCAACTTCAAGTCGCAGAAGGTGCTGGGGCTGGCGGAGGACCCGCTGCGCTGGTGGTCGGACCGCCTGGCGCTCTTCCCGGTGCTGCCCAAGGTGCTGCGCAAGTACTGGTGCGTGGCGGCCACCTGCGTGCCGCCGGAGCGCCTCTTCGGCGCGGCGGCCAGCGTGGTGGGTGCCAAGCGCAACCGCCTGGCGCCGGCGCACGTGGACGAGCAGGTGTTTCTCTACGAGAACAGCCGTGCGGGGGCGGAGCCCGAGCCCGAGGGCGAGGACGAGGGCGACTGGGGGCTGGACCAGGAGCAGGTGTTCACGTTCGGCGACGCCGTGCACGGCGGCTTCTTCGGCCTCCGGGACAGCGGCTTTGTGTAGCAGCGGGGTCTCGGGTGAGGGGGCATGTTTGGCTGGACAGACGGCCCCGCGGAGAGTCGAGCCCACTGGGAAAGGACGCAAGCCAAGACGGGGCTGAGCAGGGCTCCCAAGCAGCATCGCCGTGCGTCCCACCGGAAGGGACGCCTCGTGCCAGAACCCGCCTGCACGCTGTCAACGCGGCCGCGCCGATGGGGGACGGGACGCTGGCCTTGGCCGCCCTGGCGTCCCCCTCCCGTGCCCCTGACGGCCTCCTCCCGCCCCGCGCAGGGTCTGGGCACCTGCGAGAATAGCCAACTGTAGGCGGAGGAGGGCGAGCCTGCCCCTCCGCGTCGGGGGCGCCCCAGCGGCCGATCGGGAAGGAAGGCGAGCGGGCGCTCCGGGCGCGGACCTCGCGTCTGGGGTGTGCCACATTCTCTTGCGCCAAAACGCCCTGTTGCGAGGAGAAAGGCACGGGACGTGGGAGGAAACCTGTTCCAAGCGGCCGAGCCGCGCGAGCGCGTATTAAAAACCAGAAATGCAGTGCTCCGTGTATTGTAACTTCTTTCATTCGGGAGTCGTTTCTATCCCCTTTCAGACTCTGCTTGGTAGACATGGCCCTTCTAAGTCTCTGGGCGCTTTGGGCCCGAGGGGGTGGGGGGGGGTGGGGGGTGGGGGTGTGTGTGTGTGTGTGTGTGTGTGTGTATGAGTGACTTAAAAGGTCTGTTTTCCCCAGAACCAGTTCTCTTGGCCGTAGAAAAAGACCCGTTTTCCAAAGCCCTGCTGTTCCCTAAGGTGCCCATGGCCCCGTTAACATTTGCTGACGGAAAAGACCTTTGAATTCTCCATTGTAAACGCGACACGGTGGATGCTATCGATTTTAAATAATCTGCACAGAGACTTTTAGCTTTGGGGGTTGCTGGGGGTTTCTTTGGCTGTTCCACCGCTTACAATTATTTGTGACTAGTTTTTCTTTTCTTCTTTCTTTTTTTGAAAAGCAGCTGCCTCTGTGTCAGAGGCGCGGGCCTGTCTTTGATCCCCGGGCCGGGCTCAGACGCCGAGCCGGGTAGACGGGACCCATCTCGGCGACTCGCAGGACCCTGCCCGGGGCCCCCACGTCTGATCGCGTCCTGGAGCTTTAGGGAGGAAATTTCTCGGCGGGAGTGGCCCGTGGCCTCTCCCGGGCTTTGGGCAGAGCAGCGGGTACCTTTCGGTCACCAGCCGTGAGTGTTTTTAGAAAGTCCAGTGCGGAAGACAGCAGTTCAGTCCCTGCGTCCTCCGTGAAGGGCGGTGACCCACGGCTCAGGGCGGCCCCCCTGCCCTGAGCGGTGGGCACCCGGACGCGTCCCCTCCCGGGGCCCTTGGGGCCTGTCCCCGCTTGGCTCCTCGGCTGGAAACGCTGTGCCGGAAACCCAGGCCCCCCTCCCGGGTCTGTTTCTTCTAGAAAACACAAACAACCTCCTTTTAAAAATCCTCGGCTTCTGGTCACTCGGAATAAAAACGTCCATCTCTTCCTTTTTCATTTTTTTCAAAAAATTATTGATAGCAGAGAGAGAGAGAGACAGAGAGGGAGAAACATGCATCAGTTGCCTTCATAGGCCCCGACCGGGGATCCAACCCAGAACGGAGGTCTGTGCCTGGACGGGGGATAGAACCTCCAGCCTTTTGCTGCACAGAGCAGTGCTCCAACCAACCGAGTCCCACGGGCCAGGGTTTCAGGTTTTTTGTTTTTTTTTTTTAAAGCGGCTGAGACTTTATTTTTGTTGTTCCTTGGCTGGGTTTTGTTGGGGTTTTTTTTTTTTTGTTTTTTTTTTTTTTTTTAAGAGTTAAGAGAAGCTTCTTTGATAGAGTGGCAGAACCCCATGCGCTTGCATGAAGGACGGCGGAGAAGCCTTGGGCTCGCGGGACCCACCTGGCCTCCCAACAGGGACGTCTTGCAGCGCCCCGTAGTGTCCCTGGATCCGCGGGGTGTTTAGGTCTAGGAACTTCCGCTCCTCCTGTAGGCTTGTCCATTTCCCCATCACCCGCAGGACCCCCCGGGGGCATTTCTGTAGCTCTGCCCCCACCTTCCCCCCCCCCCCCCCCCGACAGAGATCACCCCGGCAACCGCTCAGAGCCTCTGTGTCTGAGGGACTTTTTCCTTCCAACAATGCCCCATATACGGAGCCCGGCCCCGTGGAGCCCTTGGTGCGGCTCCTTTTCAAATTCCCCGGAGATGCCTCCAAGTTCTTGCTGAAACAATCTTGGGGGCTCCCTCAGACGTCTCCCCGAAGGAGACTCTCAGACTGCAGATCTTGCTCTGATACACGAGGGTGCCCGGAACTGTTTTTCTGTGTCTGCGGACCCGGGTGACCATAGCCCGCGCGCGAACGTGCCTTCAGCGGCCCTACCCGGGGCCCCCCCGCAGGCCGGGAAGGTTCGGTGTTGGGGGGCGAGTCAACACGTGGGCCGGCGTCCGATGCTCCTCTCGGACGGACGCACGACGAACTTGACGTCCACCCTGTTGAACGATGAGTGAGTTCCCGCGTCCTGTTCTGTGCCTGCATTTGAGCCGACGTCTGCAAATGCCTTCTCCACCTCCTTTGTCTAGTCTAGCGCTTTTGTCAGCTCTCCCCTCGTTTTCCAAGAGCTCTTTCTGCCCCCGAACATGGGTCCTTTGTCCTCTAGCCTGCATTGTGTCTGTGGCCTTTGGATGTTCTTTGTGGTGATTTGGGCGCTGCAGAACGAACCCTTGTTTACGTGGCCAGAGGGCGAGAATTCTCCCGCCGAGACGTCCGCGCCTCCTTTAGAAAAGTCAGGATTGCGGTGAGAGCCTCCATCCCTCCAAAACCACCGTGTACACATTTTCTTGGCTTTTTAAGGTTGAATTCCGTTCTTCCCGGGAATTACCCCACGGGATGGTGCAGGTCCCTGTTTGCTGGACCCACCCTGCGTGTCTGGGAGCCTGGGGGGTGGCCTGCAGGGATTATTCGGGCTCCTGCGGTGCTGGTAGAATTTCTCACAGGAGCCCGGACCCTGCAGGAGAGCTCTCTGCCCGTCCCCTGCCGGAGGGCGGACGCAGCGGCGGGGCAGGGACACCCCGGAACGTGGACGTGTGTCACCGTGCTGTTTCCTTCTGCTCCCCAAGATCCGCTGGTGCCATGAGCACCCTTCGGCGTCCACCTTCTCTCTTCGGGGTGGTTTCCTAGACCTCACGCTGTTGCTCCGAAGGAGAAATGCATAGGAAATCGGAGGCGTTACGCAAGTTTTCCCTGTGGCCATTCAGCCACCTTGCGCTCCTGCCCGCAGGGTGCGAGTCCCTGATCTTCATCGCCAGACACAGAAATGTGGTGTCCAGTGTGATTCCCAAGTCATTCTCCCACAGAGTGTAAAGGGGGGCATGGGCTTGGGAGGGTTATTTGGGTATATTTTTGTACGAGCAGTGATGTTTGCCCTTCTGGTCTTTCAAGACATTTTTTTATTGATCTGAGGGAGAGAGAAAGGGAGGGAGAGAAACATCGATCAGTTGTGTCCTGTATACACCCTGGCCGTGGACCACACCTGCAGCCCAGGCGCGGGCCCTGACTGGGGATCGAACCCACAACTTTTGTGGTGCATGGGACGAAGCTCCAACCCCTTGAGCTATTTTTGTCCTTGTGCTTGGTAGCGTATGCTTTTTTTCTTCATTTTTAAGCACTCTTTCCGTATGAGGAAAATAGCCCTTTGGATCTACCAGGAGGGGCACATTGTCTTCCAGGGCATTACGTCTCTTTGTGCTGTTTTTTCTCACCGTGCAAAAACATGTTTTCCGCAGTGACGCTTGCGTCGTCTTCTCCGTGGTGACGTCCCCTGACGAAGGCTTTTCTTACTGGGAGGGTGTAGTGTTTTCATTGTGTGACTCTTTTCTTTTTTTACGGAAGATCGTTTGGATGAGGACCGCAAGCGTCGGATCTCATTTTGTCCCTTTCCAAACGTGTTCTTAGGGGTCCCGACCTGTCGCCAGAAGTCCACCTTGGCTACCGTCGTCACGTGCTCGGCCGAAGCTTCCAGGCTGAGGCAGGTGTGGGAGACATGGGCGGGGACCAGGCAGCTGCGGGCAGGCCGGCCCCCAGCGCGCCCACCCCGCCTGGCCCGCTCCTCCCTGCAGGAGGGCGAGCGGAGGCCCCTGTCCTGTTCGTGTTTCCCGCCCGGCCCCCTCTGTCCCCCGATGCCTCCGCGCGGGGCCCTGTGTGTCCTGGGAACCGTACGGAACCAACGACTTTTCCCACATGTATAATCCCCGAATAGCCCTGGCCGGTGGGGCTCAGGGAATCGAGCGCCGGCCTGCGATCCGAAGGATCGTCACAGGTTCGATTCCCAGGCAGGGCAGCTGCCTGGCTTGCAGGCCAGGTCCCCAGACGGGGGCGCGTGTGAGGCAACCCCGTACGGATGTTTCTTTTCCTCTCTTCCGCTCCGTCTAGAAATAAATCAATTAAATCTTTAAAAAAAAAAATCCTTGAATAATACGAAAACTGCACTTGGGCCCACAAAGGCACAGAAGGGATAGGTCGGGTGCTGCCCTGGGACGACACAGGGCAAACGGCCGTCCCCACGCCCAGGAGAGGGGCCTCGGGGGGGCCAGCCCTCTCGCCGATGCCTGCAAGCAGCGTGGTTTTCGGACCTTCCTGCACATCATTCTGGCAACGTATTCCAGCATGGTCTTCCAGAGACAGCAACGGAGGTGGCGCGGGCGGGGGGTCAGGCGTGGCTCGGGCGTCTTTCGCCAGCGGTGAGCCCTCCGGGAAAGGGTCCGATCGCCACTGGTGCAGACGGCCACGTGAGAGGCGCCCCCGAGATCGGAGCCCGTCCGGGGTGCCGAGTCCTCGGCAACGTGCCTCTGCTCCCAAACCTCACTCCGGGTTTCCTTTTCTCTCTCTGCAGTCTTCCCGGGCCAAGCGGACCGTGTTGCCATAGTGACGGGAGGCACAGCTGGACTCGGCTACGCTACTGCCAAGCAGCTGGCGAAGCTCGGCATGCGCGTGGTCATAGGTGAGGCTTTCCGCGCGGGTCGTGGGCTGTCGCCGCCGGGAGACGCGCGGCCGCGGGCCGCCGCACCGAGGGGGGCGGGCGGGCGGGCAGCTGGCTGATGGATGAGCTCAGGTCGAGCAGACGCCGCAGAAGGCGTGTGGATGAATGTTCAAAACCGGAAAAGAGACAGAAAATATGACCCTCTTGGGGGCGTGCGTATGGGTTGTCTCCTAATGTGGATCAGGCATTTGTGTCTGTGCGATTCACCAGGGGAGGGGAAACACGGCAATCAATCCGGATTAGTGTGCCAGCGCCGGCAAAACAAATCTGTGACTCGGCGGGGCTTAAACAACAGACACGTAGGCCTCCCGTCCTGGAGGCTGAGCCCCGGGCGGGGGCAGGGCTGGCCCCCCCCGCCCCGCCCCGAGGCCCCTCTCCTGGGCGCGGGGACGGCCGTTTGCCCTGTGTCGTCCCACGAGCGTTCCCTGGAGGTGTCTGTGTCCCCATCGCCTCCTCTTACAAGGAGCCCAGTCCTGCGGGATCAGGGCCACCTGGGGACCCCCTTTGACCATGCATCACCTCTTTACAGAGCGACCTCCCACGACAGCCCCGGTGTCAGGGAGACGCAGTTCAGGCCCCGTCGGAATAGGGGGCGTAGCGTTAGAAGAGCACCGTCGGCAGACGTCGTATTTTTTGTTCTTTTCAAAAACCTCTAATGGCTCGGCTTGGTCCCTACGTCCTCTTGGGAAATGCAGAAACTGTCTCTGGCCGCAAACGTGGAAACCGGGCCGACGAACCTCTTCGACGTTCGTCCATAGTCCCAGGGAACCGGCGGCGGCGGGGGGCGGGGGGGGGGGCGGGCAGGATTTCTAATCCCCTGGGGAAAACTGACATCTGGAGATGGGCTTTGAAAAAAATGACTTTCCTTACGTCTCCTACGCACATGGTCTGCATTGAATTACTACCTTTTCTGATGAATGTTTTTATGCAAATCCTAGTGGAGTTTTTCCCTCATTCGAGATGGCTTTCCCTCCCGACTCTCGGATACGGTACCCAGACTCCTTCATGGCTTTATCATCAATTTGTTTCTTCGTCGTTTCTCCTTCATCCCCTTCCTGTCCCCCCATCATTTTGTCCAGAAGGACAGTTACAGATCAGGGCTGGGGTCTCACGCACCGTGCACCCCGGGACGTTGTGGGTCCGTCCACAGGTGGATTTCCCCTTTTGGGGACCTGGGTGTCACGTGATGCCTAACGTGCAGACGAAAACGTATATACCCTTAGACACCCGTGATATGGAAATGCAGATTTCAAAAATACCCAGGAAAACCACTAAGGAGCCACGTTAAATCTCTCTATACGTTAAATCTTTCTACGAACAATGGCGGGGCCCCCTGGTGGGGTGAGTGTGAGCTCAGATCTGGAACTACGATCTCGAATTGAAGTGCGAGGCCTGTTGCATGAGTGAACCCTGCTATGAAAACATCCAGGAGGCCGCACGGCTCAGTGCCGCGTCGTCCCGTGCACCGAAGGACTGAGGGTTCGATTCCCAGCTGCGGTGCACGCGAGAGACAACCGGTAGATGTTCCTCTCCCCCATCGATGTTTGTCTCTCTCTTTCTCCCCCTCCTCCTCTCTGGAAAATCAGTAGCTATATCCTCAGATTAGGGTTAAAAATAACAATAATGGTGCTCTGACCATGTCTGAGTGAGCATGCGGCGCCCACCGCAGGAACGGCTGAGCCATGGCTGTGATAACCTCACTTAGGTGACGTTGGTTGGGCATCGCCTTCCGCACCTGCCGGCGCCGAATGTGTTTTATCTCTGGACTCACACGGAGAGCGAACAGTGCGTCCTCACCGCCCCCCGCCCCGCACCCCCATGTCTGCTTTCCCCCCCGAGCTGCCAACGCCTGTGCCTCGCCTTTCCCGCGGGCCACACTTCCGACCCCCGCTCGCTCCAAGGACGAGCGCAAGCCTGCCTCCTCCATGTGCCTTTGAGGGGATAATTGGATAAAGGCTGGCGAGGACCAGTCTTCATTCTGCAGGACAGTTTGATTGACGGTCACTTCACGCCCCATTATCATGAGACACCCTGTAGTCACGACGCTCCCAGCTCGGGAGCCACGCACGCGTGAAGCGAGGGTGCGCGCGCGCGCCCACACGCCTCTGCAAAAGCGCTTCTTGGAGCCTGGTGTCCCTGCCGACATTTCCCACGCCGCGGCTCATGATGCCCCGCGCGTATTGCCTCCGTCCCTGAAAGGTGCCCTGTCGCAGAAATGCGCCCCTTGTGCCCAGACGGGGCTAAAGAAAACGGGCCTTCAAGGGCTAGGTTGAGTCGACCCAAACTGCGCTGCTGGGTCCCAGGCAGGCGCCACAGAGGGCCCCGCTCCGGAACCCAGTTTTGGCCCGTGGGCTCGTTTCCGGGGGACCTGCCACTAATCCTAGGTTTTCTTCTCCTCTCAGCTGGCAATGACCGAGCTAAGGCGGAAGAAACGGTGAGGAAGATACAGGAAGAGACGTGGAATGACAAAGGTAACCCTCCTCGGCCGTGGCTGTGCGTCCTGGCCCTCCGTGTGCGCGTCCCGCCTGCGGCCTGCCGACCCCGGGACTCTGAATCGGGGTCAGGCCGGCGGACGTGACCGTGGCGGGGGGCTGGGCCTGCTGCTTGCCCTGCCCCTGGGGGAGGGGCGGATGTTTTTGGCAGGCCATTTTACCAGCTCTGAATGGAGGAAAGCAGAAAGTGTTGCGGAGTGACTCTGCCACCTGGATGCGCAGGGGTGATGCATCTAGCGAACCCTGGCAGGAGCCAAGGTTTGTGTCGGGCCGTATATGGCTGTTCCAAGTGTCAGCGCTCTTCACAAAGGTGGGACGCTAGCTCTTATTTGTCGGGGGAAGCAAGTTCCCCCCGATAAGAAGGCCTTGTCTCGGTGACTCAGAGGCTTCCTTTCGTTCTGGATGTTGAGATTCAGGTTTCAGTGCCGAAAGTAGGGCATGGAAGGGACACGTATTTGTCAGCGTTTCTGTTCTGGGCACGGGCCGCCAGGCCGGCAGGGGGAGGCGATGATGTCTCCTCTCTTTGGGGAGCAAGGATGTCCCACTTGTCACGGTCGCTGAGTTGATGGAAAAGACAGAGCCTTCTGTGCAGAAGCCTGGCTGTGCATTGTTGCTGAGGGGGTGCGTCGTTGCGGAGGCTCTGCGTTGTTGCTAAGAGTGTGCGTCGTTGCTGAGGGTATACGTTGTTGCTGAAGGTGTGCGTCGTTGCCGAGGGTGTGCGTCGTTGCCGAGGGTGTGCGTCGTTGCGGGGGGGAGTGCGTCGTTGCCGAGGGTGTGCGTCGTTGCGGAGGCTGTGCGTCGTTGCGGACGGTGTGCGTCGTTGCGGGGTGGAGTGCGTCGTTGCCGAGGGTGTGCGTCGTTGCCGAGGCTGTGCGTCCTTGCGGGGGGTGCGTCGTTGCCGGGGGTGTGCGTCGTTGCCGAGGCTGTGCGTCGTTGCGGAGGGTGTGCGTCGTTGCGGGGGGGAGTGCGTCGTTGCCGAGGGTGTGCGTCGTTGCGGAGGCTGTGCGTCGTTGCGGACGGTGTGCGTCGTTGCGAGGGGGAGTGCGTCGTTGCCGAGGGTGTGCGTCGTTGCCGGGGGTGTGCGTTGTCGATGAGGGTGTGCGTCGTTGCTGGGGCTCTGCTCGTTGCAGGGGGTGTGCGTCGTTGCTGAGGGTGAAGGTGGGGACCCGCGCTCTGGCGTCGGTCTTTCCGCTCTCCCTCCCGGCTCAATACCTTACCAATATGTTCACTCCCCGCCACGCTGTCTGTCTGTCCATTCTCATGTGAACACCTCTCAGGATGCTTTTAAATTCAATAACCAGGGACCCTCCTTCCGTTACCGCCTCTGCGAATGAGCGACTACAACCTTTAGGATGATGGACAACTGGTTCACCATCGTCCCGTGGGGAATCGCGGGGAACCTCGGCGGCCGTGGGATCTAGACATAGAGTAGGACCCTCGTTTAAAAAAATAAAAACTGGAGAAGTGTGGAGCCTGAAACGGTTCCACAACTGAGCCAGGGAGAGGCTCATTCTTGGCAGGGCTCTGTCAATGGAAGAGGGACAGCAGGTCCCACGTGTGTGCGCCGTGTGTGAAGATGCTGGGGTACCAACTGGCGGTCACGCAATCGTCACAGGATGCACCGCCGGGCACACAGAGAGCCGATGTTACTGTAATAACACGCATGTATTATTACATTCCAGGGCCGGTTTGTACGGTTGGGGCTTGTCCACCCTCTAGGCTGCACCTCTGACGCGAGTACAAAATGATAATGTCAACGGTCACGGAAAATAAAAAAGAAAAACGTAAAGGCTATTTGAAAGAAAAGATTCTGACGGGAAATGTGTGTTTGGCCAGCATGTGGCTGGACCCCCTCAGCTCTGTGTGCGCGCCTGTGTGTGCCAGGCTCCTTCGTTCACACGTCTGTGGTCCTTCCCTCTCCGGGGGCGTGCGTCCTGGTGGTTTGTGGTTTGGGGTACGGTGCCCCCTCCCATGAGCGAAGGAGACACCCGTTGGGCCGGCCGGCCGGTAGACACGGAACCCTAAGGAACGTTCAAGCCTGCAAGATACGTGTTCGCACGCTGTCGATGGGCACATTTCATGGGCAAGGCCTCTCTCCTGGAGCTGAGTTTTGGTGGGCGCAGCGAGCAGGGTGGAGGTAGAGGTGGGGTGTCGGCGGGGAGGATGCTCAGTACCTGCCCCCGGTCCTCCTTCCTGCCCGCGGGTCCCGCGTGGCACCTGGACCGTCTCTTCTGCCTCAGGAACTTCCTTGAGCATTTCTTTGCCTGCGCGTCTGTCATGACAAATTCACGCCACATTCGTGTATCCAAAAATGTCATCGTTTTGCCTTCTCATTAAAACGTAGCTGACATGCCGCATTCTGTTCGCCTCCGGTGTACGGCATGGTGCTTAGACACTTGTATAGTTCCCAGAGGGGTCCCCGGACGTTTCCAGCACCCAGCGGGCCCCGTGCACAGTTACTACAATCTTATCCACTCTATTCCCTCTGCTGGACTTGGCATCCCTGAGGCTCATGTACTTGCAGTGTCATTTTCCAAAGGCAGTTGCCAGGGACACAGACATGTGCCCAGGGGCAGAGGACACAGAAATGGCAACACTTTGCTCTTCGGAGCTCGAGGCACAGCGGCTTCCCTGCCCGGGTTACGGGGCCGCCTGTCTCTGCCTGTCCCCAGGTTCCCTTCCCGCCTGGCTCGCACCTAAATAGTTCGCGGGTCCTGGGGGCCGCCCCAGCCCTGTTTGTGCCTCCAGCCCACCTTCTCGCCGCCGCCCCGCGGGCGGACGCGTGCCCATGGCCTCGCGGCCCACGGCGAGGCCACGCCTGGGCTCCGCCGGCAGCGCCTGCCCTGCCCATCTGTGCCTGGACCCACGCCTCTCCTGGGTTCACGTCCTCCATCACTGGTGCGTCGTCACGCATTCCCGCGGGGCAGCTCCGCAAGGTGCAGGCTGACTAAGCGCGCCACCTTATCGCTGGCCTCCATCGGAGCTTCTGTGGCGTGCCCAGGGCGCTAGGCACCCCCCCTTGCAGAAGGGCCCTTGTGATGTGGGGGTCATTCCGCGGGGGAACAGATGAGAATGCCTTTTTTATTTCTTTTTTTAAAAAAATCCTCAGGGGAGGCTACGTCTTTATTGATTTGAGAGAGAGAGAGAGGTGTTGATGCAAGACTGGGGATGCCACCTGCCACTTGCGGGTACACGGGGCGACGCTCTGGCCCCCCGCGGCGCCCGGACAGGGCGCCACCTCCCGTCGAGAAAAACAACAGGTCCAGAGCCCACTCCCCTCTGACACACACGCTCTTTCTCTGGGGCCAGGGACAGGTAGGGACGGTCACTGCGTGGTATGCCCTCGCCCGGAAGGTACGGCCAGACCTGTTTTTCTCCATACTTTTCATGTTTACAAACAGAACCCGGCTTCCACTTTCGGCCATTGTACACCAGCTGAAAACCCCGCCAACGTCCATCCACGTCCCTCCTTTGCAGTCTAGTTACAGTTGACGAACGCAGGTGGAGAGATTTGGGGGAACTGAAGTCCACCGTTGACCTCCGCCGTCCCTCCTGCTGCTGGACAGGGTCTGGGCGTGGCCAGAGGGACGGCGATGTGCGTCCCCTGTGGCGCGATCCCGCCGAGAGGCGTTTCGCCGCCCTGGGACGCTCTGTGCCCCGCGGTCCGTCCCTCCCCCGAGGCCAGCGACTGCCGATCCGTCGCTGACCCCAGAGCCTCGCCTTTCCCAGCACGTGCGGAGGACACAGCGCGCAGCCCGTTCAGGCGGCCCCTGTCCCGGCGTCCCCGGCCCTGGGGACTCCTCTGCGTCTTGGCAGGGTTCGAGGGCTCATTTCCCTAAGGACACCACCCCCTGCCTCGGCGGGACCGTGAATGCTCACGAATCCGCACGGCCACGCAGGGGCAGGCAGGACGGGGGTTCCCGCGGGGCGGAGTGAGCGTGTTCGCGCCGGCCGCCCTTGTGACAAACGCGAGCACCGCTGCGTCTGCCAGGGGAAGTGGGGGCCGGGGCTCGGCTCAGGGTTAGGGGCGAGCGTTTAGGACGAGACTTAGGGGTATGCCGAGGGCTCACAGTCGAGCACTGGGGTTTCGAGGGCGGGTTCGGTGTTTGAGTCAGCGCTAAAGCTTGGGCTATAGGGTTAGGCTCAGGGTTAGGGTTAGAGGTTAGGGTTTAGGGTCACCATCACGGTCAGGGTTAAGTTGGGGTTCGGGTTGGAGTCAGGATCCCGGTTGCCTGTCAGGGTCAGGGTTAGAGCCCAGAGGTTAGAGGTAAGGGTCAGGGTTAGAGGTTGGACGTTAGAGGTTGGAGTGAGGGTTAGAAGTTGGAGGTTAGAGGTTGGGGTCAGGGTTAGAACTTAGAGGTTCGAGGTTACAGGCTGAGGTCAGGGTTAGCGGCTGGAGGTTAGATTTTGGGGTCAGGGTTAGAGTCAAGAGCTCAGGGGGGCTCCCAACTGCCGACTGCGCGACCGCTGAGCCGAGCCGCCCCTCCGGTGAGCGGCCGGTGCCGAATCCTCCCTTCTGCCGGCGCGGCCGCTCAGGAACCTCTGTCCATTCCGCCCACGGGGGCCCTTGTCCGCGTGAATTACCAGGAACAGGACCGCGTGGTTTCAGCGACGCCTGTCGTCCGCACCACTCACCAGAGAAGGGAGCAGGAGTGGCTTCGGCAGCGAGTGGGACGGGCCAGCCCCAGTGCCGTGGGGTTCCGTGTGCCGCGGGGAACACAGCGCGCGCAGGGCGCAGGGCGCGCGGCCCGCGGAGGGAGAGCCCCGCCCAGGGCGCACCGACCCCGCCCACCCGCCGGCCTCTGTCCCCGCCCCGGGCGCCCGGCGCCCGCCCGGCACCCGTGTCCCTCCTGCCAGCTGCATGTCACCATGGGAGCGCCCCCTGCTCCAGACCCTCCCTTTATGCCGCAAAGGCCTCTGTGTTTGGCTGGAGGTTTTCATGCTTTTATGTATTGATTTGAAAGGGAGAGAGAGAGAGG